TCCAAGTGGAAGTGGGAAGACGGTTGTAATTTATAACTTAATTGTAAGAAAGGAAGGATTAAAATTTACAAACTTATATTTAATATCTAAATCTTTAGAACAAGAAAAATATAAAAAAAATAATTGAAATATTTAGTTTGTGTGACGAAGTGAAATTACACACGTTTACTGACTGTGAAATCACACCAAATGATGTAAAATCACAGTCAGTTGTTGTGTTTGATGACATAAATAGTCCAAATATTACACAATTTTTCTCAATGGGTCGACATAAAAATATTAACTGTTTTTACTTGTGTCAATCTTACAGCAAAGTACACAAACATTTACGTGATAATGTAAATTTCCTAATATTATTTAAACAAGATGATTTAAATTTAAAACATGTATATCACAATCATGTTGGTAATGACTTTTCATTTGACCAATTTAAAAATCTCTGCCACCAATGTTGGGATAAAACTAAATATGGCTTTTTCGTAATAGACAAAGAAAGGTCAAAGAATAATGGCAAATATAGATTTATGTTTGACCAATTCTATCAAGAGGATGGTAAGGGTAAATAAATGAAAGATTTTTTTTAACATTTGTATTTATTATATATCTACACATTTTGAACATCAATTTTATAATGACCAAACGCAAGAGTATTGATGCCATCTTCTAGAATAAACCTCTTGTCGTCATCAAAAGATAGTACTTTCTTGTTCATGGTCAAGGTTTGAAGATGATGATTTGTAGATTTAATTCTTGTCACATTCTCATAGTAATCTTGCCCAGTTGCAAGACAGTTCAAATAATGTTGATGTCTGAGGAGATGTTTAACTGTAGCACCATCAGCTCCTTTAGCTTTCTTCACCTCTAAAGCTTGCTTGTCTTCTTCATATAACCATTTTAGAGGAATATAAGAATATAACTTTGGTCTTAAACCACAATATTCATACATAATATGACCATCTAATTCGTCTTTAAACTTTCCAGTGACTTTTTTATTTTTATCAGAGTATAAGAAATGGTCTTTACTATATCCAGAGGTATCAAAATAGTGCAAGTCACATTCTATTTCCTTGTAAAAGTCCTCTGTAACTATAGCATACATTAAAGAATCTGTATCTGTCATTAGAAATCTTTTATTCTTAAATTTTGACATATAGTTATAGTGGAAATCATACATTATTACTTTACTAATATCCAAAATGGTCATTCCCAAATATATTGGTTTATTAAACTTTACAACTAATTTATTTAAATGTATAGCATGTAAATTGTTATCAAACTTTTTGCTACAATCAAACCTTGGATTAGTGACATATTTTGTTAATAGTGACTCATCCTTGAGATATATATCACGAAACTTTCGTTGATTCATAATTGTCCGACCAAAGAGACTATTATTTAACAATTTGTAAAAGTCTTTTTCAAAATCATTTTTAGCCCATTTTCTTTTTTCAATATTAAAATTAATATAGGGTGCAAGCCATTTTGATTGTCTAAATTTTAAAATTCTGTGGTATTTTGTAACAATCAAACCCAATTCCTCATATTTTTGTAATGCTTTGTAATGTAAAATATATTTAGTTTTGTCATGTAAATTAGGTATTAATTTGCCATTCATTTTCTCTGGTGCTAATGGATAGTCATTATGTAAATCATGTAAGCTTTTATCATATTTTAAATCAACTTCTAAAATGTATCCAAACTCATCATTTTGATTATTTTTGTATATTTTGTAGTCTATCTCATTAGTCCAACGAAATCCATCCACAGGTAGTGGCTCACACATTGCTGTGGAGTATAGCGAGTTACAATCTAAATATATTAAATACACACTCTCTTGATTGGGATCATAGTGTTCGCCCATATATCTATTATTTGCTTTAGCGTAACGTGTAGAAATCATACTGACTCCTCCTCGAATCGCACTTTCTACAAACAAATGCATGTCAATATCTTTGAATAATTGTAATTTTATTCCTGTCATTCTAAGACAGGCCTCCCATGTAAGTCCAGGAAGTGAATACATATGTACAGGGTCAAGTTTGTAATCTTTTAAACACAGGTCTCTAAATGTCTCAAACACATCAGCCAGTAGCAATACATCTGTTTTAAGATATAAATCATGATATTCTTGTAAATTATTTATATTAAAATGTGTCCATACATTTTTAGCATGTTCATATTCATTGGGAGAGATATGTTCTTTAGTTATAGAACTGTAAAATGTTTCAATTGGGGGTAGAGACTCTGCAAACATATCTGGTCCCGTCATATATTCATAGGGATATACACCTTTACGTTGTAGTAGTGGATTTTGTATGAATCTAAATGTGTTCAAATTGGAAGCCAATTTATATAATGGAAGGGACAGAAAGTTGTATGAATCTAAAAATACTAAATCATCAACAGAGAATGATATATATTTTTCCATATCTTTAGCTATACAATTTAATTTACGTTTATTAAACTTTCCCAAATGTTGCATTATTATGTGACCATCATAATTTTTCAAGTTATGGAAGAATACTGGGATTTTCTTTGTTACTTTATAGTTTAAATTACAATCATTGTGGGCAGCTCCACGGTATCGACCAGATGAATGACAATGATCTCTCACCCTATCAAAATATAGGGGCTTTTCACAAATATGACAATGTGTTGAGTTTTGGAAAGATACCTCTTGCTCAGGAGTCATTTGAAGAGGAATATATATTGTTATTTGATTTTTAATATAATCATAAGTCTCAAACAACCTTTCGAAAAACACATCCATAACATTTGCACCACTATATAACTCTTCAGAAATAATTTTCGAATCTTTTACTATGACAAATGCAAATCCCGATGGAATATGGTTGTTTGAGTTTATAAAACATTCAAAATCTGCATAAATTACATATGGGGCTTTAAGTTGATATTTATAATTTTTAAATTGTAATGTATCTTGTTTAGACATTTCCACTCGTTGGGCATCAAAGTTTTTACAATATATTGTGTGGCGTTCTAATATATCGTTAGTGTAAAAATGTTGCAAACACAACTTGCAAAAATGTTTCTTATGGTCATATTTTGTAGACCGCAGCATTAACTTATCAAAATCACGAATTAAACAGTAATGTGATTTACGACCTTCTTGTAATAACAATAAATCGATGTGGGTATTACTATTCAGTTTGGTTGTTCTTAATGGATAAACACATTTCTGGCCTTCAACTCCAAATACATTAACACTTATATTATTTTGTATTTCAAATTTATCTATATCAGATATTTTCACAGGATACTTTATGTTTGTCATATTCAACTGATTTTCATAGGGTGTATAGTTTGAGACCCTTTCAGCATGTTCATTAAAGTTCCTTGGGTATAAAGCTGCTAAAATTGACCAAAGAAAGCATTTATTGTCAGAATTCTTTATATTTAAAACAGCATGTTTTGATTGAATACTTTTTGGTGTGGGGATATATGACTTTGGAGTTAGGGGCTTATACTTGTAAACATGCAACTGCCAATATTTAGTATGGTCATATATCCATCCACTGCCTTGGGCTTGATATTTGTGTATGGAAGCATCAATCTTTAAAAGTGCATTTTCAATTTGAGGCTTTAAATCTCTCTTCTCAATAGTTAAGGTAGTAAGACTTCTAAAATCTGCTATACATTCTTTCTCATTAACTAATTTTCCATTTTGATCCATTGAATATTTTATAAATTTAATTCTCCTTACTAAAGTCCATTTTATTGGCAGAGGACAAGACTTGAGAGTATTTTCAAGTTCAGCTCTAATTGATTCACCAACAAATTTAATCATTGTGTATGGACATTTGTTACAAGAATTGACATGTCTTCTAAAATGTCCAACAACATTTTTCTTACAAAAATTACAACTCTTGTGACTTTGTAATATATGCGATTTTAGAGCCAAGTTATTATCACAGATTAAATCACAAACCTTGCACAGTTTCACATTCATTTGATGCATTACCTTATAGTGACAAATCAGGTTGCTTTTGGTGGAGAGCGACACGGAGCAGTGTTGACATGACGGCTTCATGTTTAGGAATGAGGTCTCGGGCTGATGCCACCTCTATATATAGACTTTTGGGAAATTTCCAAATTTTTATAAAATTATAAATTTTAAAAATTTTAATTTGTAAAATTATAAATTTAGAAAATTTTCATTTATAAAATTATAAATTTAGAAAATTTTAATTTATAAAATTTAACTTTAGACATTTTAATTTATAAAATTTAACTTTAGACATTTTAATTTATAAAATTTAACTTTAACATTTTTAATTTACAAAATTTAACTTTAAACATTTTGAAATTTATAAATTTTTTTTTTAATTAAGAAATTACTTCAACAGGAGGTTTCCCACCCAGGACTCAATCAAGAGCTACCACTAGAGACAAGGAGCAAGAAGCAGGAGCTTGCCCGTGAGCCAGGGGCACGCCATGAGCCGGGAGCACGGCCGAGTTCGCGTACAAACCTCGCACTGTCAAGTTGATGATTTTGAGAATATACATGTGAATGGGTGTTGGAGATGGATTTGAAATTATACAATATAGATATGGAGTTGTACATTTATATAGGCTTGTATAGGTCCAAGAGTAAGTTTAAGAGGTATATCCCAAAAGACAAAGAAATGAAAATATTAAACAACTCATACAACTAATATATATAGATAAGACAGAAATATAGACAACAATATATCAACATATCAACTAGAAAGGGGAATGGTAGATGTACTAGCAATTAGGCATGGGCGGGGAGTTGGCCCAAAAACCTCGTGCCGCAAAAAACGGCGGCGACAAACTATACTACTCACTAAAACACTATTTACTTCCTTGTAGCAGCAACCCTATATACTTGTTAAATCTAACGTTATTCAAATAGGGAAATTCGCTTTGTCTACAGGTTTTCTACGGCGGGAGTATTTATTTATATGATCGAGGAGAATTATCTAAAATTCAGCTCACAGATTTATTCTTTTTTTCAGGAACAGAGCCACAAGTCTTACCGGCCTCTGTGTGTGTTGACGTTTCGATGGAACTACTTTCTTCACCAACTAGAACCCATGGGATACCACCTGGTCAACGTCATACTGCACGCCATCGTCTGTCTAATATACTTCAGGTAAGCAACTCCAATGTAAATTACTTAGCAACTAATTTTAATGGACAAGCTAGGAAAACCTGTTCTGGTAGACTTCCGTATCAGTTGGCACAAACAACCGTATGAAAATATCGATTGTTATATCGAATGAAACAATCAAATAATCGATATTTTCATTCGGTTGTTTGTGCCAACAGATACGGAAGTCTACCCAAAGGTTTTGAAGACCTTTGGTCAGGCCTTAGGGAAATGTCCTGGAGGTGTTTATGCAACCACTTAGGGGTTGTACTCAGCAGCTGTTCAATAAATAGGCCACCTGAGGTAGAGTATATGGTCAGTCAGCCAGGGTAGAGTGCCTATAAGTTTCGGCGAGTACGGGTTACTAAGGTTAGGCGCATCTTTTGCAAGGAGTTTGTGAGGGGAATTTCTATTTATATTTAGGGTTAAAGAGGGAATTTTTCTGTTTGTAGAATACTTAGGTGTTTGAATTGGATCTAATATTTTATTATTGTTAATACTGTGAGTGAAAGTTTATTGTTGTCGGGGGTATTTTAGTTAGAGCTTCCTCGAGGATGTTTTCTATCAGCCATTCTTGTAGAGAGCTTTTTTAAAACAATTAATTAGTATTTCAAAAATAAAGTCAGTTGATTGAAATAAACATTTTCGTCTTCTCAACTGTTAACCAACTTCTGTCTGACATAAATATATAGATATAGGTCCGGGTTTTGTTAATGCAATGCAATCTTAATGTTAATGCAATCCCATGTGTTTATGCAAGTTGTTCTGAGGGTTATTGAGAAAGGTTTCTTGCATATTATATGATGGAGTCTTAGAATCACTGAATTAAAGCAAAAACGGGTTGCAATAATTTAGGATTACTATATTCCATCTTATATTAAGACAAAAACATCTAGACATCCATCCAAGTTGGGTAAAGCCTTTAGAACCACATGGAATAAGACACAAACAGGAATTAATCATCTATATAAATAAAATTAAAGTTTTGTCTGTACTTTGCTCAGAATTATATACTTTTAGGTTATTTTTACGTTTTATATATTAAAGAAGCAGAAACGAGTCTTATCTCTATTTCTGTCTGTCTGTCTGTCTGTCTGTCTGTCTTTCCCTTTGTCTGTAACACTCAAGATGGCATTTTACGCAATCTTCTCCGTGAAAACCAGAGTACCTATCAAGATCCAAGTCATTTTAATGTATTCACTGGATTGGCGAGAGTGTCTTTAGCCATTAAAATATGGCTTCACTACTTTGTAAATAAAATTACGGACGTTCAAAAATGCAGTTTTGTGCGATTTTTGTCATATTTTCGTTCAATTTTTATCACATAATCGTCTATGAAATAACGAACAGCTGTTCGGATCAAGATTATTTTTTCTAGCTGTCAATGATATGTTTACAAATGTTGTTTACAAATACCGCAACCATTTCGAATCACGTTTTGAAAGCAAATCCCAACCAAGTGAGATTAAAAACGTTTTTCTTACATAACGGATTTAATTAATCGCAAGTGCAATAATATAGTCTAATAGTGTAACCGTAAATGAAATTAAATAACTAGACATCGTCCAAATCGGAACCAGAAATTCTTTGAGTATAAAATGTTTCTTGAGTTTTGACAACCAGAAAGAAGACCTTGAATCAGTGTTGTATAGGGCTGGACACTGAAATGATCGTCGCCAATAGCTTACAAAAAAGGTTTCCACTCATTGACGGTGCTTCAATGGCGGTTGTGTAAAGTGTAAAGTAAAAAATCACAACTGCAGTGGGTGATTGTAACAGAGGTTTAACAGAGGAAGTGCTAAACTCGCTTTTCCAATGTGTCACTTTCTGTTTCTACTCACCGTGTGATGCAATCGCTGGACCATACAGCCAATAGGCCCATAGCTCATATCTTGGGTACGTAAACCTACATATTTATTCAAAACAACCTTTTTGACGACGATCCTTGATACCGGTACTTTTCCATAGAATACATGGCCTACCTACTTAAGAAATATAATTACAAATGACCAAAACCCCAACCAACATTTGTAATATTACATGTCATTCATTCATCATTAACATTGATTTCTCTTTTATTTTGTATATTTTCTCTCACAATGTCTGTTAATGCCCCTGATAATGTGTTATCAGTTATTTAATTTGTTCACCTTGTTAATGTGTTATTTTATCCAATTTTGTTCAATGTTATATAATATCCCATCACCCCACAGAAACATCATCCTATTTTATGTTACAATATAATATTTATGCCAATTCTCTCCATACCTATCCTGTAATCATAAAAACCAACAATAATCATTTATTTAGATTAATATAGAATTGTAAGAAAATTGCAATATAATAATAACATCTCAAATATAGTATCATTTTTCAAAATTATCCAAAGAAAATCAAAATTACTGTGGCAAGTGTCATTCATGTAAATTAACCAGCTGTACATCACTTCAACAATGGACATGGACTTCCTGAGCTTCTACCATTGCCTCTCCCCAGATCCTGCCAACTCTTCACAGTGTGAACATCATTCTATTGGAAATTGTGTTTAATTTAAACTAAAATTCATAATCCCAAAGTAAAACCTAAAATTTAAATTTCTCATCATCCAAAAGTATTGGACAAGTGCATTGAAGAGTACAAATTTATAAGAAGACAGACACTCCAAATTTGGTAACCATCATCCATCTTATTTAACTAAGGACAAATTTAATCTTCATTGGACATTTAATCAGCATAGCATACTAGGCCCAATTAACTCAACTCATCAAGATATATACATATTTCAAATTGGACTTTTATTCAAAATTTAATCTTCAAATTCTATTTTATTTCATTAAATTCAGTGAAACCATTTGGAATCTTTCTTTGGACATTTAACATTATTATATTAATAGCATCATGAACCTAGCTTAACTTATTTCAGAACAATAACTAGCCTAAATTAAATTATTTGCATTTTAAAGAAGCCTAATATATCATTCGAACCGGCACGACCACCCCTCCCTGAGATTAAGAGGTCATCTATTTGAATATTAATTAGTACTTAAGAAGAAACCAACCCAATATAGGCCTAAGCCTAGAGAATCTTTTCATCCACTTTGGAACCCCACCATTTTGAAAATTTATCATTGTTAACTTACCCTGTAGCTAATTCAACCAATAACTTATCTTTTGTATTTCATTAATAAATTATATATTGTAACTTACCAAATCTATTTATTCTTAGAATAATTCATAATTATAAGATTAAGACAAAGACTTACCTTATTAGACAGAAATAAAACACAAATTAGGAATTATTTTTATTAAGAAAGAAATGACTTTGAGTTCAATGTGGGCTAACTTAATAGCCATAGGAATTTTGTAGGCCTAAGTTAATGAAAAGTCTATAGAAAGCTTTATGGTGTGTAGCAAATTTGGCGACCCAACGTGTCGGCTTTCGAATGATATATTACGGTAGTCATCAAATATTGCAATTTTCGATCTAAGCTAAGTTAACCTTAAGTTGTACTAGATTGTAAGAACCCATAGCCTATTGTACGTCCCGTAATTAACATTCCCGACCCCCAATAACAACACAAAGCCGTTATACAAAACACTAATTAATCACGCACAATTCGCATAATTAGTACAATAATTAATCATGGCCGAGAAAGGTTATAATTTAAGACCCAACCGTAAAAATTCTAACCTAAACCCAAATTACGACTACGACTACAACAACACTGACAGCGAGAGCGAGATTGAAGAAGAAAGTCGCCATCTTGATGACATCACACGCATGGACACAGAACAAAAAACACATCCACAGCAGACATCAGAACACACAGAGGAAGGAAGCAACGAGTCCATGGACCAATCAGACACTAGTATTCCCATTCCTACAAGTCTGTTTGCAAATGTTGCCACTGAACTGTCCAGTAAACAAAGTCTGAATGTTTCCAAAATGCCAGGTGATAGCCAAGGTCACATTAGCGGATCAATAACCCAGACACCCGCACCCGAACACAGCCGATCGTTACCGAACATAGCCGACGCCGACGAACGTCACCCAGACCCAGACGACCTAACAACACGGCAACGGATTGTAAACAACTCTAACGTTGGTGCAACTGCAACAGCAACTAATGCAACTGTCACGTCAACACTAATTGCACAATCAGATATTAATACTTTAATTGCCCTCATGACCAAATTGGACACTAAATTGAGCAACAAAATTGACGAATCCCATGCCGAAATTAACAGTAAAATCAACAGCAAACTTAATGAATTAAAAGTTGAACTCACTCAAGGCTTCAATGATAAAATTGATGCTAATAGCCTAGAAATTCAAGCTTGCCGAAATGCACTAGAAACTCATATTTTAGAAAATCGTGAAAGTCAAAATAAATTCCAGATCGAAATTAACTCAATTAAGATCACTCAGACAACACAAGCTGAGGAAATGATTAAACTCAATGAGAAACTCACACAAAAAATTGATGAATCACAAGATCAAATGCGTCAATTCGTGATTGATAATCTTACACAACAACAATCAATATCTGATAATAAAAATCAACAGAGACAAAATGACATCCTATCTGCTGTCAAAACACAATTGGTAATACATGAACAGAATTTTGACCAAAAAATTGAAGAACTTTCTCAACGAACCAGGCAAGAATCCGAACAGAATTCTAAAGCTAATTTGGCCATCATACAAAACGAAATCCTCCCAAAACTCACCATCCAAAACAAAACTTTAGAATCTCAGCAAGCTGAAATCCAAAATTTAAATCAAAATCTAACTAAATGTGAACAAGAAGTGGAAACCCTCAAACAGAACAAAACATTTGAAAACTTCCAAGGCCCAATCAAAATTATATACAATGGAAATGAAGAGAAAGACCGACAAATACCAAAATTCAACGGCCGAAGTGGCAACCCAAAAGAATATCTTAATAAATTGAAAAGATATTACGACAGAGGACTTGAGCGAAACAGCAATTATGACCCGA